TGTTTTTCTCCCATCATTGGACTCTGTCGTCTGCCACTCTGGACCCTATCCTCCACTTCTACCAGCTGGACGACCCAACTGGGGTCACATAGGAGGGGGGGGGTTGGACCCCCTCCTGCGGTTCATGCCTGAGGTGTTTTTATCGCGAGAAGGGTACAGCAATCCCTTCCCTCGCGACTTACGAAGTCGATTATGGTTTACTAACAAACGAGCTTTGCAGCGCGTCGCTTTCATCCTAGACCAGGATTTATTTTAGTGAGAAAAAAAAAACTCTCTTTGCCGGGACTCGAACCCATGACCTGACCCCCTTAGCAGGCTGCGAAGCTACCCACTAGACCACCGGGGTGGTGCAAGGTGTACACTTGCTGTGTGGACAGCTTGGGAGAGCAAACGAGACATGAGACATCTTGTCCAAATACAAGCGGAGGCGGCTAAATAATTGCGCACAGACAAGAAGACAGAGAAAAGAAAGAGAGGGGGGGGGGGGCATATCACTCCAACAAACAGCCTAGACTGAGCCGGCTTTCGGCAAGAGGTTCGATGGGAGGGGCGGGAACGACGACATCGACATGCCAGCACCGTACTCGAATTAACCAATCCCACCGAACCAAGTGCGAAATAGAGACATCTCAGCAGTCGGTGGCAGTGCCGGAGAATGTCTGTGGAGTTGCAAAACCAAAGCTAAGCGGCGCATGCTCACATCACATGCGATGGACACAAACATCACGTCTCCACTGTACAGGTACACCGCAGTCGAACACACGGGGACAGGACACACATGCCATACATATTGCCGGCAGCTGCTCGTGAAAGTTCAAATATAGATTCCCAATCTCAGGGCATCGTGCACAAATAAAGAGAAAACCATCCAGCCATTTTGTCCCTTTGGTTTCACAAGTGGTGCTGCTGTACAGTAGTACTCCACGAGACGACTTCAGACCAAGCACGGCCCTCGTAGGCATTACAGCAGTATCACCGGGTGATATGACTAGTACACTCCGCAGCGTTTACAACACTTCGCAGAAGTTTGCTACAACGAAAGAGCCTACAAGGAGCCTGCGCTCATGCGAAGGGTCTTGTTGTGTTAGTGCGTGTACACACGTTGTTGTAACACCCCGAAAGACGGTTGAAAGAGAACAGGGCGGGTTTTGTGTGAGCCAGCCACGACCACGCAGCGTCCGGGCGGCCTCAAAAGATGTCGTCGATCGTTGGCCTTTTGACATGTTTCCATACATTCATCTCTTGGACTACACACGACGACACAAAAGCACACTAACGATACCATGAGCAACGAGTTCACCGCAATAACACCTAAGAAGATCCTATGTCACACCTTCTTGGCGTAGTTGTAGTTGCGGTTCGTTAGCGCCACGGTCGCTCCGCTCGAACCCTGGATCGCCTTGAACATGTGGAGATCTTTCTTGAGGCGCCTCGGGTCAGGCGGATAGCACGGCACGGCTATCACTCCAGCTCGGAGGCAGGCGAGGTAGGCCACGGTGAAGTCGAGGCATGGCGGATAAACGAGGAGACAAGTAGAGCCCTTGACAAGGCCCAGCTTGTCCAGGAGGTGGGATGCGAGCGCATTGGAGCGCCGGAGGACAGAGGAATAAGTGAGAGCATCAACCTCCGCCCCTGCATCATCCAGGAACGTGAGCGCTGTCTTCGAGGGAGTTTTTTCGGCCCAGTAGTCGATGGCACCGAGGAGGCTTTGTCGTCCGTCCATCCTGGAAATGATGCACCTGTTTGTGGTAGGTACGGTGGTGCTCCGTTTCCTCCACTCACCGGAACCTGCGCTTCTGTGGTAGTGGTGCAGGTAAGGTGGGGGAAAGTGTGATCAATTTGCGTGATCAGAGGGACTCCGTATATGCAACAGTGGGGATGCACGGAAATCAAGACGGAGAGACCCCCATCACCCACAGACACACGGAAGAGCTGGACACAGAAGAGTCCGGGCGTGCGCGGCCTAACAGCTGATATACGTGAGAGGTGAGGGGTGTGGTGGAGGAGAGATGAGTGTTTCACGTGTCAACATGGAACTGAGCTCCACTTGCTTGCGCAGGACTTTGTGCACATTGCGGCTTGAACGTCAAGGAAGTTAGTTGCCTCGATGAACCCGCAAACACCGCTACAGCGGCGTATCGTAGGTACATCAGTAAGGAGCCCGAAATGTCCCAGCCGAGCGGGTTTGGAGGTCATCTGATACGCTTAGTACTCAGATGAGGCAAGGGTAGTTGTCCTTTCAAGCTGCGCAACGCACCGGGTATCTCTTTCTCGGTGTTGTGACATTAGTTGCAAACTTCTATAAGAGGGCCGTTGTCGGCGCGATACGAAGTACGTACACAGCGGCGGACATACAGCTTCCCGTTGTTGCTCGGTACTACTGCTCGCTCCACGACGGCTGTGTGTGCCGTGAAATATGTGATGGCGCAATGACTGCTGTCCAATTGCTAACGCGATGGCGAACTTGCTTGTTTACTTCAATGACAACACGCTTTTCATGCACCTACCTTCGACCCTGGCTGCTCTCGTCCCGGCCTCGCGATCTGTCTCGTCCGCGGTTGGCGTACTCCTGAAGAGATCAAGGTGTTCTAGATCTGTTTGCACGCCGGACAACAATGCTGCGGAGAGGAATTTTCAGGGTGGCTGTGTACGCCCAGTCCCAGAAAACATGCGCCGCTGGGGTCAAAAATCTCCCCGCGGCAGCCGCGGGGACGAGGGCTTGGCTCTCCGCCACATCAGGCGGAGACGGCAGTGACGACGCAACCCCGGCCAAGACGAAACTCGCGTTTTCCTCCAGCGTGTACGGCAAGGATTCGGCTTCTGGCGGAGAACCAACCGCGGAGGAGGTGGCCGCTGCCGCACAACTCAAGCGGGAGGCGGAGGCGGGTACCGCAAGGGCGGGGGCAGCGGCCGCACCCGTTCACGATGACAGAAACATGTTCGACTCTTCGCTGTCCCAGCAGGCTGAGGACGGGAAAGCGTCCGGGAGTATCAAGCGCGACGTTGCGGCCGACACCCCGGACGCCACACGAGTGGCATTCGGCGCTACCGCCTACGGCAAAGATCCCGAGGCCGCCGCTGCGCTTTCAGAGCAGGAGGCTGCGGAGGTTGAAGCGTTGCGGGCGAGGGCAAAGGGCGATGGTGTCGCCGGTGCACCAGCGGCCCCGCTTCATGACAGGCGCAACATGTTCGATTCCGACTTGACGCAGGGCGCGGGGAGCATGCAAGCGTCCGATGCCATCAAACGCGACGTTAAAACGGATACGCCAGATGCCACACGAGTGGCGTTCCGCGCGAGTGCTTACGGGAAAGACCCTCAAACGGCCGCTGCGCTCTCTGAGCAGGAGGCAGCCGAGGTAGAAGCGCTGCGGATGAGGGCCCAGGGCCGGGGTGCTGCAGCCGCGGCTCCGATCCACGATTCCAGGAGCATGTTCGACTCCGATCTCACGCAAGGCGCCGGGAGCACGCAAGGGTCTGACTCGATCAAGCGCGACGTTTCCGGCGACACCCCGGACGCTACACGAGTAGCGTTCCGCGCGAGCGTTTACGGAAAGGACGGCCAGGCTGCCGCTGCGCTTTCGGAGCAGGAGGCCGCCGAGGTGGACGAGTTACGCGTGAGGGCACACGGTGCCGGCGCCTCGTCCGCTGATGCCGCACCTGTGCATGATTCTAGGAGCATGTTTGACTCCGATCTCACGCAGGGCGCTGGGACCATGCAGGGTTCGGACTCGATCAAGCGCCACGTTGCGGCCAATACGCCGGAAGCGACGCGGTTGGTCTTTGCGGGGTCCGACTACGGGAAGGACCCGCGCTCCGTGGACAACTCGGAGAAGACGAAGGCGGAGATCGCGGCGCTCGCGGAGAGAGTGGGGGCGGGCACCCCCCCCGCTGCGGCGGCGCCCATCCACCACGATAGATCAATGTTTGACTCGGACCTTGCGGAAGGCGCAGGTGCAGCACCGGAGTCGACGGCGATCAAGCGCCACGTTGAGACGGCGACGCCGGCGTTGACTCGTCTCAGTTTCTTCGGAAGTACCTGTGAGTGAGAAGACCCCTTTTTGTAAGCGGTTTCCATCTTCTGCCTGAATGGTGCAAGCACGGTGACCGTGCTTTTCATCGCCAACTAAGTGTGGCAGCACACGGAGTCTCTGGTATCTCATTTGCAGTTGGTGTGATGGCGCACTCGAGCCGCCTCATATGTGTTCGAACTGCTTCAGGCACAGCAGTTTTTCTTCGGCCAAAGTCTCCACATTGCATTGCCCCGTAGTCGCTCTGCCGCCTCTCGAGGCTACCCGAGGTTGGCACCTACCCAAACAAATGTGAACGCCACCCCGACATGCGGGAGTACCCCCCAAATCCCAACGACCTTTTTTTGATGCGATGGAGGATGTTTTTGAACCCAAACCTCAGATGGCGATGACGATCCTGGCTCCAGCAAAGCGGATCACGCTCGAGCATTGGCGGAGAAGCAAAAGAAGGGGGCCAAGCTGGCAAGAGTAGGAGCAGGTGTCCGCAGCGCGAAGGTCCACAACACGGAGAAGGCGATGGCCGATGACGAGTATTCCCAAGCAGGATCGGAGTGACCCGCACGATCTCTGCCACTCGTCTCTTTCAGCGCGACAGCAGCAATTGCGAGAAGCGCGATATATTCCGCGTGTCACTGGCGAAGGCATGTGTATAACGTCTCATGTAGCAGCACCGTTGAAAATTTCTGCCGTAGATGTGGCGATGAGCCTCGGGACGCGATGTGGGGAATGTTGGTACGGTCAAGAATGACAAGATAGTTTCTGTTAGCCATGTACGTGTTTGGCTTCGGGGGTGTTTTAGCTTTGTCGACAGCCTGTTAGAGAGGAACAATGGATGGTCACAAGGGACAAATGTGGGTGCCTTGTACATCGGACGTGGGATCGTACAGATATAAAGTGGTTGGTGCACTGCTGTAGTGAAAAGTATAAACGCGCCTCTCAAACTGCAAACGGGACGCAGAAATTTGCACCAGGGTGAGCGTGAGAGGAATGGACGGGACAGGACGACAGGGACGTTCTTCATGTCAATATGAGGGAACATAGACTTGAACGCTCCAGAACATATAATTATCGGGTCAGAGCTTTGGGTTCCACGTTTTCACCCCTGGCGTCTGTAACACTGCGGAGAGCTTCATTCGGGTTCCCACCACAACACGCAAGATCACACGTACATTGCGCATCAAAATCCGGCTTTGAAGTGCATTTTCAGCATCTCTTCGTGGACGCCATAATGACATCGGCGGATCATAGGTGACATGGCAGAACCTCCAGGGTCCTGAGGTCGTTGTAGCTGTTGGTGGGCGGACACATATTCTCTGTTGAAATTTGGACGAGAAACGCACCCAGAAAAGAGCAGGGCGGTGCCACATATGGTCCGCTTGCTCAGTCAGCAAGCAGGTGGAACACCCGAAAAACTGTGTATTAATCGGTGTCCTGCCGAGTTCCCATGGCTCCAGGAATGCTTCCAAGGAAAGGTTCTTCCCATCCTACACACAAAAAAAAAATACTCGGAATGTGCGCATGAATCGTACGCTTGCAAAACTTGCCATCCACGTTTGGAATGCATTTTGCAGGTGCTTGCAGGGCAAACACTGTACTTTTTGATAATGGGTGATACTAGGGAAGGCTGGCTTTGTCTCCCCTCAGAGTATCGACAAGCTGTCAAACCTCAGCTTCCACGAGGTGTTGCTTCGCAATCATGTATAGCGGAGTGACATCGTGGTAAAGGTCCACGCTAAACGTGAGCGGACTAGGTTTACAAAACAACAGCATGAGAGAATTATCGAGTTGCAGCCTTCATGTGTTTCGCATGCAAACGAATGTACACCCCCAGGAAGGGTCAGGTGGCCGCGAACCAGCTGTACCGCATGGCTCATGAACAGCTTAAGTCCTTGGTAAGGTCTCACGTTTTGTATGATGAACCTGATCGCTTTTCCCCGTCAGTCTTTCGCCATCCCTCACCCCCTCTCCTTTCATTCTACAAGAAAAGCATGTACCTGAGTACACAAGACCGTTGTTTGCCTCTCTCCCGATGTGCCGACCGATCGTAAAACCAACATATTCTTCATCTAAAAATGGACGGAGCGGCAGCAAAGAAACAGCTCTTTCGGTCTCTGTAACACCCGAGTACCAAGAATAACATCATCTGAAGGGGAAACGCGAAAGTGGTACTGCTGTCACCCAAACAAGGCACAGGGAAAATCACTTCACACAAGTCCGTGTACGAGTGCCCGACGAGGTTGACGGGGGTGGGGGGGGGCAGAAATTCTCGCTGCCCACCCCCATCCCCCGTTTTCCTCTTCTAAACTATATTTTCGCGCTGTGTCTATAACGTCCATGCCTTGTACAATGCAGCCATCCCGTAAACAAAGGACGCACCCATCTCCACGTCAGGAGCAGGCCGAGATACTTGTCAACTACCCCCCAAACTTGACAACAAGAACGAGGACGCACGGGTTTCTTTTGTTCTACAACAGAGTTGGGGCTTAGAATCATTCTTTTTTGCTTGTACTCGCCCGAAACGTACGCAGTCCAGCAAGGGTAGCCCGGCGGAAAAGCTTGGCATGCCGAGACTTTAATAATCATCGTCCCCTTACCCCCCCCCCCC